AAGGGTTAAAGAAGTACAAATTAGTAGCTGATGGATGGTCATGGGGATGGGGAGCACGGCATAGGGAATGCAGTTAGCATTAATGTGTTGGCTAGGTGGAGGGTCAGAGGAGGGAGGGAGCAATTGGGGGGATCATTTTATGAACTATATAGACGTCTAACCAATGTACTGTATACTTGAAACTAATTAAAATAAATAAATTTAAAAAATAATAAAATCACACAAAGTTAGCATTTTATCATGAAACCAAGTATACTTATAAAAATAGAGCAAAGACTGAAAGCATATGTAATTTGTTCTATCACAGACAGCTCCTCTGTTGTCATTTAGAGCAGGGGTCCCCAACCCCCAAGCCTGTTAGGAACCGGGCCGCACAGCAGGAGGTGTGAATGGCCGGTGAGCCGGTGAAGTTTCATCTTTATTTGTAGCCACATCCCAGGGCTAGCATCACCGCCTCAGCTCCACCTCAGATCATCAGGCATTAGATTGTCATAGGACCACTGGTCCCTGGTGAAAAAGGTTGGGGACCACTAATTTAGAGAATGGTTTTAGAAGGCAGCCTCTTTGAGAATCTTATCACAATGGCCCAGATTTTGTGGTTTCTGGATTTAATGCGAGTTGCAGTGGAAAGGAGCATGTAAATAAAGTCTCTCTGTTCTAGGAGCTGGAGTTCTACTAGTCTGGGAGAGAACAGGGAGAAAGAAGCAGGGCAGGGCTTGGTCAGATGGCAGTAGCTGCTGCTACTTCACTTCATGAGAAGTAAAAATGAGCTCTTATGAGGGGTTGAGAATTTTGTTAGTGGGGGTTTGGAGCAGAGAGGACAAAATGTTGGGTCTAGACAATAATTCGATGTGAAATAGTTCAAAATCCGAAGGCAGCAACATCTTTTCAGAATTGTGATAAATTCTGGAATGAGCATGCCTAGAGAATAGAAAGAGGGTGGGGGTGTGGAGACATAAACAAACCATACACTGTCACAAAGACTCATAGGCGTTGGTGTGATCAAAGGCTGAGAAGTGCTTAAAGGCAGGTAACTGAAGTTATGTATTCGTGTTAAGAAAACCAAGAGTCTAAGCAAGTAATTCCTAGGAGTTTTGATTTCACAAGTAAATAACACTGAAAGAAATAATTTGGAAGCTGACTCTAATAGCCTACTTTTTATTTCTTTTAAAATAAAGATATTAATAAACACTAGAATTTATTATGACCATTATTTTATTATTATTTTTATCCACTGGAAAAAAATAAGGAAGGCATAGTTTCATATTTATATACAATTCTTGAAATTGAATTCATTCAGCTTTGTGAAAAACTTGGGACATTGTCCTAATTTTTCTCATTTTTCCAGGGTCACTTCATCACTAACCAAGTGGTTCAGATTAGTGTTTTGGAATGCTAGAAAAATTTCCTCAATATGTCCAAGATAGTATTATTGATTATCTTCTGAGAAATTTATATCGGTGTTATTTGTTTCCTTACAATATACAAATATCTCAGACAACTTTAGCTATTGAATCTTGTAGGTAGTGGGTTAAAAAAAACAAAGGCCTGAGCTCTGCCCTCGGTGTACTTGAAAGCTAATGAATACAACATACCCTGATCATTTACAGATAAATATTTATAGATACAGTACAAAGAGAATATTTTAGTACTGAGAGTATGTAGAGGGAGTAACCAGAAAAGGGCCATCTTGATCAGGAAATATTCTTGTTCCTTTTTTAGGAAAGGGGAAATAATTAAAGCAGAGAAGTTGATGTGAATAAGCCCTGATTCTGCCTGCCTTTGGGATCAAATGCCTGTTGTTATTTGACTATGGTCTCAGTGTGTTTTTGCTTACATTTTCAGGGGAGTCCACTGGGTGAACTCATCTGCCTTGGGATGACTGGACCTATGTTAACACCTTTTGTCCACTTAGCTGTGGCTGGAGGAGGGCAGTCAGGACCATGAAGGAAACGCATGGTTGACCCTGCCCACTTCTTAGCAAATGCTTTGAGTTCCCACCGAAAGAGAATTCTCAGTGATTTTCTGAGACGGGTGTATGAGCTAAATAGCTATGTCCAAATCTGTCTCCCATTCTTAATAAATTTGATTCTTTTAAGCTTGTTTACGGCTCCATTTTCCAGGCAAGAATACAAGAGCTGGGTTTTACATGTAGAAAAGTCTATGATCTGGTATCTTTTCTAAGAATAAGAATATTTTTTTAAAAAATGGGTTCTAAAATTTTTTCACTTGTTGATGAAATTGATCATTTTTCTTCTAATAACTAATATTTTAAACTGAGAATATTTCTATTTTCCTTACTTTCTCGATAACTTGAATTCCATTAACTTTGTGAAATGATTGGAAGGTATAACGACAAAGTATGAAAAAAATCTGCTGCCACCATCCAAATAGTTTATAAGAGATTATTTATCGATTATCCAAAACTTAGGCTATATAGGAAAACAAGGGGAAGTAAAGATCAAAATACGATAAATTACATACATTATTTCGAACTCTTGTTTGCATTGACAGAAAACCAAATGAAATTGACTTAAGCATACAGCAGAACATATTATAACTGTATTGGATATCTCATAGAAACCAAAGATATGAGTAAGAAACAGAATCTAGGGTCCGAACACAACCAGGATCCTCTAGGTGCTCTTTCATTTGGTCAGAAGTACACTTCTTAACTAACCAGGACAGCCAGCTGGGTCAATGTAGTTTGGCTGCTCCCGGAGGATTGTACTATAGAGCAAGGAGGGTGGAACAGGAAGAGAGTACTGTTTTCAGAAGAAGTAAAAACAGTATCAAACAAGACAGAGATGTTCGTCTTATTGAAAAAAGGAGCGAAGAAGTAAGACAGCGAGAGAACATGGCTTGTTGTTTCTTGAATATTCAGAAATGATTGAGATCTGTTTTAAGGGTCAAGTACTCTCCATTTTATGGAAAAATATTTTTGTTCAGACATTTATTAAAAGATCTATTGATAAATGACAACCTGTAAAACACTTGAGCTATTGTGCAATGCTTAATTACTATTATTCATTGTGTACTTGTTATATACAAAGTACTCTTCTATATTTTGGCATATGAGGTTACAGTTGTAAAGATAAATAGGTCCCACTCTCAAGGAGTTTATACTTTAATGATCTGTACGTGGTAAAGCAAGCTATAATGTTTAGGTGACCTCACATGAGGACTGGTCATTGGTTAAAAGCAAATCCTGCACTCATATTCCATCATTTCCCCCTGAAAAGGAATTGGTGGTCATTAAACAAAGATTATGCTCTATATGATGCATCACCACAATTAATGGTCTGAACTAAAACTGCAGTCTGCCACAAGCCCTCCACCATTCCCTGCAAACTGCTCACACAGACTACCTATCACCTGGATTTAGGTAAAAGTTTTCCACTGACATTTTTTTTGTCTCTCTGTTCCTCACCTGATTTTTGGGGAAAGACTAGTGAGGAAAGTGGAATGTAGGTTAGTTTTTATAAGTGTTGTAAGTAAACTTGCAATTATTATTATTTATTTCATGCTTGGTTTTTAAAAGTCTGGGAAGCTGAGTGGAAAAAGGGGTTAGTGAGAGGGGGTTTGGGGGGAGTATACCAGCAGGTGGCGCTTGTCTCCTTTGAGAAGATAGGAATGTTTTATTCAGCCTAGAGTCCCGTAGGAATTAAGGGCAACTATGCAGGCGTGCATACACTGCAAACGACAAAGATCATGCCATACTTCAGTGTGGGGTCCCTTAAGTCACAAGTTCCAGCCTTCTGCCCCGACCATTACCTTTCTGCATTACCGCTTAGCAGACGTTTCCCTTACTCCAAGAGTTGTATTATTTTCGTACTTGACCTGCATTTTCATTTTCCCCTAGCCAAGTGACGATCAAGCCTTGGGTATAGAGCAAAATTAAAGGCCCTACAGAAGTGGAGCTGAAATCCTGGAAAGGAGTGGTACTTTATCAATCTTCTAGCTGGTCTGTCCTGATGGTGTCAGATGTTCTGTCGCATCTGGTGTGCCAGCCTTGATCTGAGCAGAACATAAATTTGCTTGCAAGCAGACATGTCAGTTTCCCTGCCTCACGGGGACAAGAAAAAGGAGCAGCTCAAGGGCACTCAGGTGACTGTGCACAGGCTCAACCTGTGACTGAGTTATTGGTTTGTTAGAATCACTGGCTTTCTAACCTTTCCTTGCCCTACCCAATTCCGAGACTCAGCCATAGGCAGACCCTCTGCCTCATGTGACAATGTGTTTTGTCCATCATAAAAACTACCCTCATTCCGAAAGTCCTTCCTTTCTGGGTCTGCAGTTTTCTATCATCACTCAGGAAACCTTCTGTCCTACTCTCATTTGTCAGCTCGCAGCCTGGGAGCACATAGGAAGGAGGACAACCCTAGAGTCTGAGGGCAACAAGTTCGAAACTCAGCTCCGCCTCTGACTGCCCGGGTGCTCTTATACAAGTTTCTCAACTTTCTCTGTAGACTGCTGAAAACAATGTTTCTTCTCATGGGGTTTCTGGATTAACGAGATAATTAATGTAGACTATCCAGACCAGTGCCTGTGAAGACCCAAAGGCGGGGGATTGTCTCTTGGCTTGACACCACAGTGGAAAACTGCTTCTGGGGTGAACTCCAGGTCAAAGAGCCAGAATAATTTGCAGAATTGCGGTAAACTCTCACCTCCCCGCGATCTCACTGTATTTCAAATCCCATCTATTGCCTTGTCGCCGGCTTCTCAGATCCCGGCCTAAAACCCCTTGTCCGTAATACCCTTGGGCAGCGAAAAGAGAGCCAGGGGAGTTCGGAGTGTAATTGAACAAAACCCCCGCACGGGCGCTCCCCATCCACCCTCCCGTACCCCGATTGCGGGGCTGAGCACAGAGAAGCAGCGAACCCCAGCCGGGTAGGCCGCGGAGGCACGCTCGGAGATGGACCAACAGCTTGGGGGAAGGAGGAGGAGAGAACAGCGGGCGGAGGAGGGGAGAGCCGCGGAGAGGAGGGCGGAGGGGCGGGTGGAGACACATGCGCGCTGCCTGCCGCCGCAGTCCTTAGCTTCCCAGGGACAGGAAACCTTCGAGACTGAGCTGCCACTGCCGCCTCCCCGTCCGCCCATCTGCCACACTCTCCTCCCCTTCTTGCATCTTTCGGTGGAGCACTGCGGGGACTCGGTCCGGGGTGCCGTCTCCCCCTCCCGGGGGAAAGCTGTAACCCCTCCGCAGAAGCTGCGGGGCGGCGGGGCGGCGTGTGTGTGGCGGGGGGAGAAGATGGCGACGTTGGGAAGCGAACCCCAACCTTTCGTCCCTGCTCTCTCAGTGGCTACTCTGCACCCACATCATCAACCCCACCACCATCACCACCAGCAGCAGCAGCACCACCAGCAGCAGCACCACGGAGGAACCGGAGCCAACGGCGGGGCTGGAGGAGGCGGTGGCGGCAGCAGTGGGGGCTTCAATCTGCCCTTGAACCGGGGGCTGGAGCGCGCGCTGGAGGAAGCGGCCAACTCCGGGGGGTTGAACCTCAGCGCCAGGAAATTGAAGGAATTTCCCAGGACCGCGGCTCCTGGGCACGACCTTTCAGACACGGTGCAAGCAGGTGAGAGAAGGCCGAAGAGCAGGCAGTGGGCGTGAGTGGCTGTCTGTCGTGCCTTCCCCGACGCGGTGGCCACTATGAAATGGGGCCTCGCTGGGTGCTCATCGACCCGTTCTCTCCCGAGTCAGGGACCGCGTGGGCGAGGGAGAGGCCCAGCGCTGGGCACGGTGGCCCCCGCCTCGCCGGGGGGGCTGGCGGTCAAGTCCGGGGAGAGCCGGGGTACGCGGGGGAGCCGGGTGCGAGTGCGGGTGTCCGGCTCCCCATCCCGAGGCGGCAGTGGCCAGGGCAGTGGCCCCGGGCTGGGACTGGCGGGCGCGCCGCGGGCGCGCAGTGGAAGTGGGAGGTTTGCGGCGGCCGCGCCTGCTTCCTGGGCCCGGCGCGGGGCTGGGAACCTGAGCGCCGCGTCTGCGCCGTGGACCCAGCAAGCCCTCTTCGCGTCCGGGCGTCGCCCGTTCTGGTGGGGAAACTCAGACAAAGGTGGCGCGCCCTCGGCCGACCCGACAGCATCCGCGCGGTGCCGCGAGGCCCTCTCCGCGGCATCACCAAGCGATCGGGCAGCTCGGTGCCGACTGCGAGGAGGTGCCCAGGCTTCCTCCAACTGGCGGGTGCGAGGAAAGAGCCGCTGCTATTGTGAATGCGAATCCGCAGCCACTCCTCAGGCGGTCGGCTTCCTGGTTCCACCAGGAACCAGGTTTGGCTCCTACCACGGAGGTTACCTAGTTCTCAGTAACCCGATCTTTGCGAGGGCCCTCGAAGGGACAGCATGGCATGTTAAAAGAAAAGTAATTAAAGTGAGCCGGTTTTCGTCTATGAGTCCGACAAGTTGCAACTCGCGCCAATGAGCAGCCAGCTTTTTGAAGTTATGTCATGTGTTGACATATTTCTGAGACGACAGCTTTCTCTTTGGTAGCTGTAGTTGCTAGAGCGGGATCTATAAATAGGAAGGAGGGTGGTGGTGGAACGCGATTCAGGCCTTGGGATCCTACTGCAGACTGATTTGGTTTCCTATAACCCGGTTCAGCTCCTTCGGAGAGGGTTCCTATCTTGGCAAGCGTCCAGCGTTTCCCAGGGCAGTGGGTGCCCCATTTTGGAACCACTGCTCAGACCTTCTGGCTGTCATAACCTCGTGAGCCCTTGCGTCAGACCCCCTGGATCCTGGATGGACTCTCAGTTCTAGCTCTCCCAGTTTGCCCTTGCGGGAGGAGAGGGTCGGTCTCGGGAGAAAGTAGTTGGCTTTTGGAGCTAGGTTTCCAGTGCCTTTTCTTCCACCTTTAATTCAATAAACATTTATAGGGAGTCCCAGTGAATATTTAGACAGAGTTCTGAGTTCTCTAGAGCCAAAGGGCCCTTCAGGGTCATTAAACTTTGTAATTAGGATTTAGAGATAGGAGTGGGCAAAAAAAAAAAAAAAAAAAAGGGGGGGGGATTTCCAGAGTTGAGCTGTAAACAGCTGTGGAGTCTCTTGATAGGACCTCTTAGTTACATTTTCTCAAGTGTAAGTTATACCACGGACTGCCAGAAACATTGACTTAAAACAAAACAAAACAAAAACCTGTTAAGTTCTATTTTCCTTTTGCCACAGAGTGTACCATTGAACTGGGAAAGGATTGGATTCGACTACAGAAAATGGAGCTGGCATGACCAGTAATAACATGTGTTTGTACCTTCAGTAGGAGGGCTAGAAAGTTGTTATTCTACTTCAGTTATGCTGCTTATTTCCAAATTTGGGTGAACATGATGTGTCTCTTGTGTTGCCATTTCTTTGAGAAAACCTGTGCTTTTAAAAGCAGGAACAGTATCTTTCATTTAAGAACTTGCCATTCTCTCTTGCTTGCTTGTGGTGAGCTTAGGTTGTGAGTTTTGTAAGTTTTTAATTATAAGCTTCATTTGCACATGTTTCATGCTCAGAAAATTCTAAAGAGTTCAAACTCAGGCTTAATGTTAACTGTCAAAAAAATACAATATTAAATTATGGGAGGGGGAATGTCACCAAACTTTGTAGAAACATAAGACAGCTCAATAAAGGTAAAAAATAGTTAATATAGTCAGCTATTTTACATGAAATTTGAGTACCTGAATGTATTAAAGAGTTTTTTTTTCTGTGAAATATCTTTGGGTGTAAAGCAAATGTATTCTGCTCTTTGTTCTAAAGACATTTGCAAGAGTTAAAATACCTCCAGTTTGTAGTGTTGACATTTCCTTTATATTAAGAGTTCTAGTAGAGTGGTGAGTATGAATAGTAACAGACAATAAAGATAGTGGTTTCTCCTGGGTTAATAGTTTACAGAATAGCTCTTAAAATCAGAACGGCACATGAAGACCCTTAAAGACCTAAGATGTAAAGGGCACTTTTTCATAAATTTTGAAAGATAGGGAGAGACATAGAAAGATTTTCCTCACTGTTCAGATGTACAATACAGGTCATTTGGTTTATGCCTTCCTTGTAAAAGTACCTCTTCTGGCAGCCACCTACACAGAACTGCACTCTTGGGCAATGTAGCTTATCTGAACGGAAGATGTAAACACAAAAAGAGACCCAGGGCCATTCAGTAGGTACCTAAACTGTCACTCAAATGCAAACACATTTTTCATAGGAAAAAAACTCTCAGGCCCTCGCTTTGGACCTATTGATTTACTCTTTTTTTTTTTTTTTTTTGATTTACTCATTTTTGAGTTAAAATCGTTTTTGTTGTCAGGGTCTGGTCTTTTTGCAGGGGAGAGGGGGAAAGTGTGGCACAGGTGACACTGGATGAACTGGAGAAATGTGAATAAAAGAGCCATGATTAGCACTTGGTGTGTACCCTGCTGTGTGACGAGTACTTTATCTGCATTATTCTTCTCAGTCCTCTAGAAGCCTATTCACAGCCTCATTTACAGCTGGGGAGATTGCATTTAAGAGAAGCCAGATAATATGCTCAAAATCGTACCCGATTTAGATGGTGAACCAGTGATTGAACCCTGACAGTTTTACATCCTTGACCATATTCCTGTTAAGCAGGGAAGGGTTAGAGAGGAGCAGAATCTGAGAGGCTGTCTGGGCATTCATTCAACTCACATTCATTCCATAAATACCCACCAAGCATCACTAAATGACAGACACTGTTATAGGCACCTGGCACCACAGCAGTGACCAACAGAGAATCCCTGTATCCCAGTGTCCCCCAACTTTTTTGGCACCAGGGATGTGTGCTCCTATGAGAATCTAATGCCTGATGATCTGAGGTGGAGCTGAGGCTGTGATACTAGCCCTGGGGAGTGGATGCAAATGCAGATGAAACATCACTAGCTCACCTGGCTCACGGGCTACTCACCTCCTGCTGTGTGGCCTCTGTTGTTACTGGTACTTGGGTTAGGGACCTCTGCTTATAGAGTTTTCATTCTAATTGGAGGGGGATGGGGAGATAATGAAGAAATTGATTTTGCAGGATGAGTAGGAAGAGTTATGGTATAGTTATAATATCTTTGTTTTAGGAATATACATGCTGCCTTGTATTAAAGGTGACTTGAGGTGGCTTGTAACAACAGCACAAATGATGACTAGCAATAAATATAAACTGTGCTTAAAATTAGGCCTGATAAAAATTGCACCAATATGTGCATCAGAAAAGCAAACATTTTTCTTAGTGCTGTTTTATTAAGCAGGGTCATTT